CATTTTATGTAAAACCCATTATTCCGATGATTTTATATCTAAATCACGATTAGGTATATTCCGTGAATCAGCCGTTTCTACTGATTCAGCCGTTTGCGCCTCAATTGGAAAGTATATGAATAGTAATTATAATATTTGTCTTCGTTTTAAGTAATCAAATATTTTCTAAAGAGAAATATTAGAGATCAATGGGACGGCAGCAGACGCTGCCATATCGATGCTGTTATGTATGGGAGTTACTATACCCGAGTCAATGGGTTTGGGAGGCGGAGGACTGATTATGTTTTACAACCGATCGACTCAACAGTCGTATGCAATCGATGCGAGAGAACAGGCGCCCCGATATGCTCACAAAAATATGTTTCATAATACTGCAAATCTATCGGAAGCGGGACCCCTGGCCATTGCTACACCGGGAGCACTGGCAGCCTATTGGCAACTGCATCAAAAGTCTGGTAAAATTGAATGGAGTCGACTATTTGATGGGGCCATTCAATTAGCAAGGGATGGCTTTAAAGTGGGAGAATTTTTGGCAAATGCCATCCGATTGACAGAAAAACAAATAAGAAAACATCACTCATTTAGGCGAGCATTTAGTCAACATTTATATTTTTTTATTAAATAATGATTTTTGTTTATGATTTGACAGTGAAATCTTTATTAACAAAGAAACGGATGAAATCTATAAAGAAAATGAAACATTAATTCAAACAAAACTTTCGCAAACATTAGAATTATTGGCTAAGTCTTCAGATCCATTAAAATTATTTTATGAACAAACTATAGCTCAAGAGTTAATAAGTGATATTAAAGATGCCACCAATGAATGGAATATAAGTGGTTAGTCATCCAGCATATAATTATTTAACATAATTTTTAATTAATTAATTTATTTGAAATCCCTTAAGAAATAATAAGTTTAGAAGATTTCAAAAACTATAGCATCGATATGAGTAAAACTATAATTAAAACTAAATTTAAACGAGAAAACGTAACATTACATACAATGCCATTACCGGGCACTGGGATTCTGTTATCATTCATAATGAAAGTAATGGAAAAATATGACGATCTCTATCCGGACGCTTTCAAATCACTCAATACAACGATCCTATTTTACCACCGATTGATCGAAACATATAAATACGGGTTTTCTAAACGAATGCTTTTAGGAGACGACAACTTCGAGGACATGAGGACTGTTATGCAAGAGTTGTCGTCCCAACAGTTCATAGATTTTGTTCATAAGAATATAGACGATAAGCAAACGTATGCCGACCCCAAACATTACGGGGCAGACGTATACATGAGCGAAGATCACGGCACGTCTCACGTCTCTATCGTTGATAAGTTCGGAAACGCCGCCTCAATCTCAGCCACTGTTAACATGTTGTATGTATTCAAACCATTTCTTAACAATTCATTATAAATAGTAATATTATACCCATAAGTAGTTATCAATAAAGTGTTGATTTTCATACAAAGCTTCGGCAGCAAAGTAGTGTCGGCTAAGACCGGAATTATACTCAACGATGAAATGGACGACTTTAGCTCCAATTACACAAATGCTTTCGATGTGCCGCCGTCTGAGCATAACTTAATAGAGTCAGGAAAGCGACCCCTGTCCTCCATGTGCCCCTCAATATTTACCGACCCATCCGGTAATGTAAGGCTTATAATCGGAGCGAGTGGTGGCACTAAAATAACTACAGCCGTGGCATTGATCGCCATCAGACACTTATGGATGAATGAGACCATCAAACATGCCATCGATTGGCCCCGAATACATCACCAGTTATTCCCCAATGAAGTGGTCTATGAAAGCAATTTCCCTAAAGATATATTAGAGGGTCTCAAAGAGTTGGGACACAACACCACGGATTTAGGGGAGGACAGGGGTGCTATTGTCATGGCAGTCAATAAACAGAATAATCTTTATTATGCAAACTCGGACTTTCGGAAGGGTGGAGATGTGGATGGATTCTGATTGTAACTAAAGTTTGCTATATTTTATTATCTAATAATTTCCATGAAAAGTAAATATTCAATAAAGTAATAAAATATTCAGTTAATTAGAATTTCTAAGTTTGAATGAATAAAAAATTACTATATAATATAATATAGAAACAAACTTAACACAAACGTAAAAATAGCATTTAATTAAATAATTAATTACATTTAACACACAATTAAGAGAATTAGTTAACGTTATGATTAGTGTCTTGAAGTCTATTCTCCACTCTATAGACTTCCCTTAATATTACAAAAGAGCGAACCAATCGAAACACAGTCAAAGAGTTTATTAATATCATTAACGACATGGATATTAGTTTATACCACTCGAGGGCTCGGATTAACAAAACCATTTGAACGAAGATCAAGACAACCAACAGACCCAACAAAGTGCCGAAGCCTCCGATGGGGTCTTTGAACACAATCTATCAGTCAATTGAGTAATCAATCAAATAATTCATACAATAATAGCAATAATACTAACATAATAGCGGAGATGAGACTGATTTCCGGGTTCCGCGCAATTAGTACTGCCTTCAGATTTGAAGTACTCTTTGGAATACTTGACAACAACTCCCTGTCCGTAGAGGAGTGCGTCCGACCAGGCATTACACGGAACTAAAGTGTTTCTCGTCTCCAATTTCTGCCACTTTCCTAAATGTAATGAAGACTTATGGAGGATATCATAGAATTGTGGGGAATATAAGTGAGAGGTGAGCATCAGAAAGGATGTCATCCACGAGATGACCACATGCTGTGCCGTCCAACTCATGTCGTAATAGAGATGGTTCTGAGCGAAGCAGAGGCTCACGAAAGAGGAATAGTATGCGATTAGAAGCGAACGAAATAATATGAATTTCAATCTCTCGTTGAACGATGTCTTCAGGCGATCCACTTCCTCGCGAACCAGCTCTGCATTTGTGGTGCAGTTGTGAGAGGGCTGTTGGCTCGAGAACTTCGTCGGCAGTATAAGCGACTGGAGGCCCGCCAACCAATTGATAGGCGTTCCCGTGGTTTTGGAGGCCTCGTAGGCGCGGATCACATTCGGACAATACATCAACACATATATCACTATCGGATACGATATGCAAAGAATGCCTGTAATGCCGGCACTCGAGTAGATGTTTATTGAACACCTCATGTGACCCCATATGCACACCATTAGGATCACCAGCGAAGAGCTGTACACATAAAATGAACGCAAAAACAGCGGAAGTGCTGGTGTTATCTGCAAACACAACCAAATCATTACTCCACTGATCACCTCAAGTGGTCACTCGACTGATCCATTCAGTCGTCACTCACCACATGAGCCAAATGAAGAACAAATGGACGACCGATGAAGAGGACACAGAACTGAACCACATTTACGTCAATCAGATGGAAGTTCTTAGGGATAAGTGAATAGGTTTTAGTGATCATTGAGTGGTGAGCGAGTGATAGTGAGTGCAAACCATAGCGATGTTGGTGTGAGACTGTGGTAACCACCAGACAGTGCGGTAGAGATTGAGGTACTGAGTGGTCATCGATATGATGAACACTACCATTGATTGCAATTCAAACAACAACTCGTTTTCCGACCAAAGTTTCGGTAGATTTATGTGTTTCGGAGATATCGATGAATTGATTGTCTCCACCCTTGAGGTATGAATGGTATGAACAGACAAATAAGTGATTGGGAGGACAGGGATGTGTGGGACAGACCTGTCATCGATGGTGGGTTTGGGAGCCGACAGTTTGGCCGCATTTCGCCTGTGGTTTGGCATAAGAAGGAAAAGTTTGTTGTTTTTGCCCATAATTGAGACCAATTGAGACCTAATTGACACCAAATTGAGACCACAGTCACAGACACTGTCTCTCGTGAGCACACATTCACTGAAAATCACTGCAAATGACTGCAAATCAATGCAATTATCGTTAATTGTGTTCACATTTAACAGTAATAACTGTATTCAACACTTGAATCACACAAATGCAGTGATGTTTACATCCAAACCATATGTCATACGAAACCATAACCAATGTCTGCATCACTCGTACGCCAGTTATGCGTTATTTATATGTATTTATTGCGATATGTATTGAATAGAGTTTGCATTCAAATGAGTGATCAATTAATTGAGAGACAAATCATTGCTTTCACTCCTCATTAAAGGTATTATTATCTAATGTTTTAAGCAAATATTTATTTAATATTTCATAAACTTTTATATAATCTTGTATTTTGATGGCAAGACATGCTTTTCGTATATCAATATCATGCACGAGATTTTCAATATTGTCTATTTTCATTCATTTTTGCTAGCTAATTCATTTAAACAATTTATTCTTCAAATAATATTATTCTGTTTGAATTTTATTGTATATTTTCTAATCAACCAAATGTTTGAATATATTTCCAATTAATTAAATAGTCAATATTTTGTATAGTAGTTATAAAAATCAATTAATTACATAAAACATTGACTTTTAGATAAACGGGTCATTTATCCGGAATCTATTGAAATAAATATTTTAAATATTTATTTTAAAATTCTAATGACTGATACATTCTCAAGTAGTTTAGACATTGCTGAGTCCAACATTTATATTGTTTAATTGCACATATAAAACGATAGTGAAATTTTATATTAACAAGTTTTAACATTTGAAACCACGAAATAGACATTCTTGATATTAAATCTAAAAATAAATGAAATAAAAAATTTATTATAATGAGCATTCATGATTGTATGTGCTTATCATACCATTATCATTGTTACAAAAAGCTATTTCGCCCACATTTCCGATACACTCTCTGTTAGTTTATAGCGTATTATGAATTATAATATGATATCTATGAATAACAATTAATATTGATTGCTACAAACACTTTTCTATCGCTACACAACTCTGATAATTAAATTCTGCACTCAAATAGAAAATATATCATTAAATGCTTTAAATATTTATACAAAAGTGAAATACAGTATAATTAAATAATCAATTGTTTTTATTTAACTTAAGAACCTCAACATAGCAGTAATATCAACATGCAATTGTTCATATAAGTTAATTGATATGATCAAAATGAAATATTATTGATTTAGATAATTAAATGTTGATAATTTTATAACTATGATGGAATATAATTAAATTTTATTAGAGACAACCATTGCCTTACTGTAAGTATTTGTATATAAGGTATTCTAATTGTGGACTTTTATATCAGAGTCAAATAAACTCATAAAATATAAGTTAAAAGTAAAACTTGAAATAACGTAAAACTTTACAAAATTCACGTGATTTTTCACATTAAATTCTGGAAAATTCCTGAATGTTATATAGAAGTTGCATTAATTATGATATAAATCACTACTAACTTAATCAGAAGGTTATATACTATTTGAAGAGTGCATTGAATTTAACATTTAATGGTTTTAAAAAGAATTTTTTTTAACCAAAACTTGTTATTTGAACAGTGTTTGTAAAATCAATATTTACAACAATTTTGACTTTTTATCATACGACAATCATTACTAAAACATTAAAGTTTAATGATTAAACTATTTGTTTGATTTTGAATACAGTTATATTAAATATGATATTATACTCTATATTTTCAGATTTGGAGTGAAAATGAAGGAAATGTTTGAGTTTTTGATTTATGTTTTAAAATACAAGTGAACAAACAGATGAACAAAAAGCAAAACTATTAAATATAACTTAATAACTGCGACCCATAGCTCTCTCTCCCATAATATTATAAACATCATATGAATATGAATTTTAACATTTAATACTCGATTAATATTACAAAAATTTCTGAGGATATACTCCAAACTATCTAATCGTTTAGAATAACAACTCAACGTTTGCTACTTATATGATATGATTGTGCCATAGATTTGCTAAATTCACTCAAAAGTTGACAAAAAACTTGTTCAGTGTTTGATAAAAATAAATGAGTGGATAGTATTTGGATAATATTTTTATAGCAAGTTTTGACTTCTATTGGTTCGGATGTTATTTCACTTGATTACAAGTGTAGAGAATGTGGAAAAAGTGATATTCAATTGATGACAAGCAACTAATTATAGTATTTCCTCATTCACTCAATCAACTCATCACATCTAAAGTGAACACAAGTATTGAACAAATTTGATTAAATTTTGAGAAATTTATTTTTACACAAAAGAATATTTCAATAAATAATATATCGAAGTATGTCTGCAATGATATCATCAATAAATGAATCGCTGGACACAAATGAAACCCTTTCGACGTCCACAAGTCTAACGACTAAGTTATATAAGAAGCGATATTTTATTCTACTATTGTTTGTATGTCTGTCAATGTCTAATGCATTTCAATGGATAGAATACGCGATTATCGAGAATATTATAGTCAAGTATTACGATACGACCACCTTTTGGGTCAACTGTACTTCAGTCGTATATATGGCCGCATATATTGTGGGCATAATTCCGGCCACTTTTCTGCTCGACACCAAAGGACTCAGATTTTGCATACTTTTAGGTGCTTTTGGCAATTGTTTCGGCTCTTGGATTAAGTAAGTTCAGTTAAACTTGGTTAAACTATACTGACCACATTGTTTCCGCAGGTGCTTCAGTGTAGAGCCCAACAGGTTTTACGTGACAATGATTGGACAGTCAGTTGTAGCCGTCTCTCAACTTTTTATTCTCAATATTCCTCCGCTTTTGGCTGCCATTTGGTTCTCGGACAGAGAGGTCTCGCGCGCCACCGCTTACGGAGTGTTTGGCAATCAAGTGGGCATTGCTTTGGGTTTCTTCGTGCCCTCACTAATAGTTCCCAACTTCAGTGGCAATGACTCAACACATGACTCCAACCAAACACATGGTGTCACAACACTTCTCTCCACAACAGTCATCGACACCTCAGAGAAGATAATTGGCATCGAAGAAGTGGGAACTGGTCTGAGGACTCTATTCTTCGGAGTGGCCGTATTCACCACTTTATTATTTGTATTAATTGTGCTGTTCTTCAAAGACAAGCCGGATCTGCCGCCGAGCACAGCTCAGGCCAACGCACAGGTAGTCAACGAGAACTCATCGTTTATAAGTTCATTACACGCTTTGGCCACAAATCCAAACTATGTGCTCCTGTTCTTCACGTATGGCTTAAACACCGGTGTATTCTATGCGGTGTCCACTGTATTGAATCAGATGGTGACGGGAGCTCTGGGAGAAGAATATGTCAAAGAAGCCGGTTATATGGGATTCACTCTAACATTGGCTGGAATTCTTGGATCCATAGTCTGTGGTTATTTGTTAGACTGGACTAAACTCTTCAAACAGATAACTCTTGGCGTATATATACTGTCATTGTGTGGAATGATTGCCTTCACGATTGCCTTAAAAGTAGGATCCGTTTGGTTTATGTTTTTGGTGTCCGGTATTCTCGGCTTCTTTATGACCGGATATTTACCGCTTGGCTTTGAATTGGCCGCAGAGATCAGTTACCCTCAGCCCGAAGGAACCTCTGCTGGACTTCTCAACGCTTCCGCTCAAGTATGTGTCAAATGAATACAAAATATTTACTTATTTATTAAATATTACTTTAAAATATCTCCAAATGATTAGATATTTGGAGTGATCTTCACATTTGGTGGTTCAGCGGTTATCGACTCATTCAACAGTCTGTCGGCAAACTTGGGTTATGTGGGCGCTCTGGTCTTGGGATCAGTTCTAACGGTTCTTATCAAAGCAGACCTCCGAAGACAGTCGGCCGAGAAGAACACCAATAATGCAAATAATGAAACAAAACAATTGAATAGCGTTTGAAGAATATTATCTATTTTTAAAAATTGTGTGAATTCTGTAAATAATTAATGGTTTGAAACTATTATGCTAATGATATCTCAAGTCTTCCAAAGAGTTTTTATTTATATTTTACATTCATATCATAGTTTGGCTCTAAATGTGTTTTCAAAACTAATATAATATATTTTAACATCGCTTTTAATAATACCGTAAATGAATAAAATTTTTATTAAAAAATATATGACACAAAAGTACAGATAAATTAAATGGATTGATAGCCGGGTGCGGGTCCTGACCACCATTTCAATCAGTGATAATGAGTTCATCGATACCCCAGTCCTCGTAACTGCCGTCCGGTAAATACCTTCTGATAATAATCGGTATTTTTCGGGCTCTAAACACATGAGAAACACATTAAGAGACACATGAATGGCGGGCACAGGGTATGGCATACTTGAGCTCTTTCATGGCGATCTGGAGGGGGTCGGTCTCGCCCTCCAGTTCCACCATAACGGGCGCACACATGGCGATCTGGAGGGCTCGGGTGCCCAACACTCTGGCCCTCTCGTATTTAGTCATATAAGGAGTGGTAATCCGTTTGGCGTTCATCTGAGGTGTGTGTTCAGTGGCCGCCAACACATCGATGTTCTCGTCATCCATTTGGTCCAAACCATCCATATTGTCGTCATCTTCAATGGGGTCATCGAAGTCCTGACCCATACTGTCATCGCATACATACAGACCATACAGTTTGGGATCAATTTGGGATCAATTTGAGATCAATTACTGTTAGCCCATCCAACGAGTGGACAATCAATGCATTGGTTTAGTACTTACTCTTCGGGCTCATACTCGTCGTCAGCCATTATGGGATCAGTTGGTCACTGATATGCGGATCAATTGACACGACAATCAAATGTGATCTCAAGACACAATTTGGACGCGATTTTCAAAAACGTTTTGCTTTTCAATGAAATCATTGTTTTCTCACATAAATAACGTGCCATTCATTGAAATACTTGTCAATTAAGTGTTAAATTGAATTAAATTTAAACATATGTTTTATAATTAAGTTAAATGTTACCAGAACACTTAAAACAACTTGACTTGTAATTTATATAGAAATTACACTAAAAATTACATCAAATAATTGTTTTGACAAATATTACAACTTAATGTTAATGTTAACACAATTAAAAACTTAATGTTAATGTTAACACAATTAAAAACATTAATTTAGCAATCATGTCAATTAAAATTACAAACTTTTATACAATTAGTAAAACAATCGGTGATCTCTATATAACATCTATTTATCGGTTAAAACATTATTCAAAAAATGTATTTAAAAATAAATATTTAGTTCAATAAAAAAGTAGTGATTAGTTGTCAGCAATCGATGAAATATAAACAATTCGAGACTCAAGAAGAATAATCATATCATTGATGGCATGCAAAGACTCCTCTCATGCGGTGAACATCTGTTTAAAACAATCAATTGATGGCATTATTCGTAAAATTGGAGATAAAAACAAATATATATATGAATTTGAGATGAGTTTGTGTCTGCAAACTATCTCCGACTGAATCCGACATTCATTTGTCTCATATATTCTTCAGTGTCTTCGGAATAGTTTAAATAATTTGAGAAATGATTGATACGTTTGACTGGAAAGCGAATAAATAGACAATTAATAGAGACATCAGTGTTGGGAAGGGTTTGCCACGGATTGGTATCAGTTATTATCGACACATTGTCTCAATTCGTTGCAAATGATGTCGAACTCGTTCTCGAGGGCCAGCAGTTGTCCGGTGTTTGCGTGAGTGTTGGCAATGAGGGCCACAATGAGCTTGTCTTTGTTGAAGTGCACGATCTGGTAGTTGTGGTAATGGGTGACGATAGTGGTGCACAACCCGATGCCCAGTTTGGACGCCTGTTCCACACCTGTCGTGAAGTTGGACGACACGAATGTGGGCCGACCCACGAGGTTGGGGTCGTGGCTATCGTTCACCACTAGAAGACAATCGTAAGACACCGTAAGACAATCACACAGTCATCAACCTGTTCCACACCTGTCGTGAAGTTGGACGACACGAATGTGGGCCGACCCACGAGGTTGGGGTCGTGGCTATCGTTCACCACTAGAAGACAATCGTAAGACACCGTAAGACAATCACACAGTCATCAGACATCAGACACCATGCATAGCATTATCACAAGAGCTAACCCTTAATGAGTGGAACTCCTTCCTTGTCGGTGATGATGACGGCTATGAGTCCATCGACTTTTGTGGTCAAAGATAACAAATCTTTTTTGCATTCCTTCGGCAAAAGGAGGTATCGTTTAGTCGACAATACAATCAATGAATTCATTCATATTTACCTCAATATAAGACATAACTGTTGTCAGTGTATGAGTAATACGAGTCATACAGTCATACAAAACACCCAAAGAGTGCCAGTATTTCACAATCAATTCAATGCTTCAATAGTTAGGATAACTTAGTATTTCTCTATTCAAACGTCAATATAATTTGTAACTTGACTTGTATTTTGTTGTAATCCTTGTGACAAATAATTATAATTATATTCTTAAGACTGATTCAATGGATGGACACCAAAATGTTTATATTTCGTGAAACATGTGATAAAGTGTTGACTCTTTTCTGTAGGCATTGAATGCATTGCTATTGCACTACAATCTAGTGATTGAACACAAACTCATTTCTTACAACTTCTTACAATTCTTTACTAAAGAATACTAAAGAATACTAAAGAATACTAAAGAATACTAAAGAATACTAAAGAATACTAAAGAATCTTACTTTCACTATAATCATTTAACCTTGATCAATTAAATTAGTACTGTATTGTGCATTATTATTAACCATTATTTATTATACCGGTATTATAGTATTAGATTTTTGAACATTTTTATAAAATGTTTATAAATAGATTTACTTTTAATATGAAACAATAATTTGTAAGATTTATTCATATATTAATGAATTATTGCTGACAGAAAGGATAGGCTTTATTGACATCCAAATACTGAACCCCTTTTCCGGTTTGAGTGGTGCTGTAGAAGCCGAGTCTCTGGTCGGCATTTTTGGCGCATTTCTTGTCCTCAAAGTCCGTCCAATTGGTGCACTT